GAATTATAGTAGAAAATAATTAGATAATACAATAGTGTACAGTTTTTAATAATTGTAATTAAATCACCAATTATAGACTAAATTGGACCCGCGTGAATGATGTGTTTTGTGATCAAATTCTTGACAAGTTTTTTTTGTGATGAACAATATTTGATCATAGTGTAGTTGCTTTATGGTAGGGGTTTCCATGAATCATTCATCAGTAATTACTTATGTAATATAAAGATCTTGTGAATAGTTGTATTTCGACTCTTCATACAATTGTTTTATGGTCCTTAGCTCATTTGCAATATGTCAGTGTTCAACATATGCTTTGTCTTATTTAAGGGGAATGCCAAACAAAGACGTGTCGAACTGCTGTTATGGACATCCTTTGTCCGCCAAAGTTGGTTTTAAACAAGCAATATCAGGTGTTTAATGGAAGGACGACGCACAAGAGAGGAGCTAGAAAACAAGTCGAACAAGTCTCCCGGGCCTAGACCCTCTATCTAATTCTTACTGATTTTATAAACATGTGCAAAATTGAACGAAAAAATTTAGCCAACTTTGACTTGATTATAAACTAAATTTGAGCCGACTGCGGAAGACTACTAGTAAATAAATATATAAATATAAAAGAAAAATGAAGGGCATTTTGGCAACTACTTACCCAATGGCACGGGTTCAAATATAATGGCATGATTAGTAGGAAGGAATGACATGGAATGAAATGATCATACCTTATTCATTCCTTATCCCATTATTAGTATATTTTTTGGAAAAGAATGACCATTCCAATGGGAATGGCAAAACCCATCTCCATGGGATTAGCCATTCCATAAAAAATGGAAGGTTTTCTCATTCCCATGTGTGTAGGAATTAATTTTCAAAAAATAAAATTAACAAATAATAATAAAACTATAATATATATTATAAATCATGATTAAAATATATTAAATGAAATTCAAATAAAAAAATTGAAAACTTACTTTTATTTATCTTTTAATTAGATATATTAAATACTTATTATAAATAATTTAAAAATATATTATTTTATTTTTATATATTATTAAAAATGTATTATTTTTTATATATTAAAACTATATTACTTTTAAAACATATTATTAAAAATATATTATGGAAAAATATTAAAAATATATATTATTAAAAATATATTACTTTTTATTTTTAAATATTATTAAAAATATATTATTTTAAAAAATAAAATTCAAATAAAAAATTAAAAACTTACTTTTTATTATTAAAAATATATTATTTTATTTTTATATATTATTAAAAAAACATTTATATATAATTTATTAAAAGTATATTATTTTTAAAAAAAATCTTTTATTTATTTTTATAATAAAAAATGATAATGTCATTCCATTCAAGTATTATTCCTTCAATGACAAAACTTGTTTCATTCTATTCCCATAATCATCCTATTCCTACGAAATTCCATTCTATTATACCAATCATGTCATAAAGGACTATCAATTTTTCTCACAAGTATAAAAGAGATATTCATGACAAATAAAAAAAAAAATTAATTAAAAAAAAAAAGAAAGGGGAATAGATTAACACGACAAAATTAATAAGCCATAAATATGGATATACTCTAAATAATGACGATCCATATTACGAAGATGAATGGATAAAAGATAATACAAGACGAGCAAAAATAGATAAATTGTTCCTGAGCAGAAAAACAGAGTAATCTATATCTATATCTATATCTATATCTATATATATAAAGAGGTTGTTGGAAAAATACATTAATAGAATGTTTGACCAAATAAATATAATGTTTGACTTACTATTAATGGAAAGTTCAAAAAAATACATGTGAATCTTTAGTAACAAAATCTGAATCCTATTTTTTGGTAACTAATTTGGAGATTCTTATGGCAAAATTTGAATTCCATTTTTTTCGTATCATATTTTATTTTTTTTCAAAATTTAAATCATATATTTTTTGGTAATAAATTTGGAGATTCTTATGCAAAAAATGTGTCAATTATTTATGAAAACAATTCTAAATACAAATTAACTTAAAAACCGTACAAATTGGATACAAATTTTGGAACAAATAGTTGTATAATTCTTAACCAATTCTTCCAATCTTATTGAATAATTTGTTCTTTAAAAAAAAAGTGTGTAAATTGAATAAAACCACGTGCAATTTTTATTTTAGAATAAAACTTATATTTGGACGGGATGTACATTTACAATTGTGCCCACATTTTTTGGTAACAAAAGCGGTTCATCATTGATATATAAAAATTAAAAAAATCTTAAAATATCCTTAAATATTTAACTTATTTGAGATCAAGATTTGTTAGGTCTTTTTAAGATTAGTTATGATTTAAAAGAAAAAAACGTTATACAAAATTTCACTCTAAATCTCACATTCACACTTAAGATTTCATAGTATTCCTCTAAAATTTGATCATCTTAAAAGTCTCAAATCTTAAAAAATCTCAAAATGGCACTCAAAATTCTAAACGAATACATATTATATGCCTATAACGTCAATTTATAATTATTATTTAATATTATTTACATGTGCATCGCACGGGCCACATACTAGTTAGGATAATTTGCTAAATCGTCTGTTAGTGCGTGCTCTCGTTGGGAGTAAACCACATGGGTGCAGGCACAATCTTGTTTATTTTGTTGGTGTCCCGCGGATAAAAGCAATCAGAAAATGTTCTGGTCGCGCAATGATAAATGCCGATATCGTGGCCCCCATAGATGGAGCCCGCTGGAGGCTGGTGTCTATTTGTGTCAGTAAAGTAAATACAATCTTTTTCTAGGCCATGGTTGGTTGGTGTGGGGATGGCAAAGGAGTGGTTCTTGCCAATAAACATTGCCAGCCCATCCAGCGAACCCTCCAAGCTAGTCATAATAAGCTTGCCCGAAATATAGTCAACTTTAAAAACATCGAAAGAAAAGGTTTGATGGGGGAATTTGTCATCCCAACCCCTATACTTACCAAAGTAGATATGCGGACGATAGGTAGCGTCAGGGCCCATTCGTAAGCATACTTGTCGATCCATGAGGAAAAGCTGATTCATCTGCTCTGCCACCACAAGGAATTGCTGTGTCATCACTTCCGGATATCTCCAACAGAGGACTCTCGTCTCTAGTTCACTAGCAACCCCAGACATATAACGTACAATCTCCGACCAACAAATCCTGGGGCACTCGAGGTCCCCAAGATCCCAACACTCCAATCTCCACATCACATAACAGAAGAAGAGTTTGTGTGTGGGGGAATACACGCAATCGGTGTACCGCCTGACATAGTCGTCCTCCTCGTCGCTGTGGTGGCTTACCTCCCCATACAAATACTTAGTCCAATACAAATGGCCGATGGGGGTCCAGTGGGTGCTGCGGCCGGGCTGGCAGAAAGCCAGCCTGTTAAAGGGCCCAAAAATCATCATGGCACGACATTGATCTACGTCGTGGTCGGGGGAGCAGGAGAGTATGAGCTTGGATACGATTCCACAGCAGTTAATTTGGGGATCGGGCAAGGTGAGGAGGGATGGAAGGTTTATGCGTACCTCAGTCATTGGGTTCCAGAGGAACAGCCCGTGGTTGCGCCGGTTCAGCACAGCTATCCAGCCATGAGACGAACCCACAAATTTGGCATCATCATCGTCTCCTTCCAATGTTGATCTTATTCTCTCTATTCTGGATTCTGCTAAATTGTAGAAATTATAATACAACACGTTGCCGCATTCCACGGAGGGGGGGAGCATAAGCCAAGGCGACTTAACGCTGCTCCAATTATTATCATCAGAAGAAGAATTCCTCGCAACAGAATTCGATTTATTATCTGTAGCCCTACTATTATCGTCAGAAGAAGAATTCCTCGCAACATAATGCAATTTATTATCTGTCGCCCTATTATTATCATCATCAGAAGAATTCCTCGCAACGTAATGCGATGTATTATCTGTAGTCCTATTATTATCATCAGAAGAAAAATTCCTCGCAACATAAAGCGATTTATTATCTGTTCTACTTCTTCTGCTGCTGCTTATTATCATTCTATTATTAGAAAAAAAACCTACGTCCCCTATAATCATCCTATTCGATGAACTAACTACAGATCTCATAAAAGAACAACTGAAAGCTCTCAAACGAATCATGATGTTGTTAATACAGAGCTCACCTGCAGTAGATGAGGGACAACCTAGATCTCCAACACCGCCAATAATGCGCCTCTACACCTTGTCACATTTGACTCTACTATATACCCTGCTTGGATGGGCTTTTTTTTTTTTTAACTTGGATGGGCTTTGATAAGGCCCATTTCATTTTTCGTGATTTTATTGAGAAAATTACACACATTGTCATTTCTAGAATATTTACTAGTATTCGACCTGTGCATTTGCACAGATATAAATAAATTATTGTGAGTCTGTACATATAATGATTAATTATTTTTCTTTCACTTTTTTGCAGACCAAATTTACAATTAAAAGAATTGGAATTTTTTTTTTAAATTACGTTTATCTGATTGGATGTAATGTGTATTTTGGTACGTCTTTTATTTGTGAATTATTTATTATTTATTTAGGAATTTCAAATATATTTTTTATTTTCAAAAAAAAAAATCAAATGTAACAACAATAATAACATCTAATCACATTATACGGTCAACACATTATATGGTCAACTGTCATTAATCAAAAGTTTAAAATGATTTTTGTAATTTTGAAGTGATGAGTATTAATTATTTAATGATTAAATGAAAGATTAAATACATCAAAATGTAACGATTTTTGGAGGGAAAATTGTTAAATTGCCACATAGGTAAAATTAAATAGGTTTTATTAAATTCTATTAGCTAGTAATTATATATATATAGATATCACACTAATAACATAACACTAACCAGATAGTATGTATGTTATTCCATTCTCCATTTATCATCAAGTAAATGTATATTTAAAAGAGTCCTTTTTTTTTCTCCAACGACAATAGGCATATCTAAAGAGTCAGTTTTAATGCAGACCGGGTGCAAAAGAAGAGTTGGGATTTTAATTCTCCCTGGTTGGAGTGTGCCTTTCTCTCTCTAGAGAAGGATAGAAAGAAAGAGAAAAACCACAATATCAACAAGCTAAAGATAAACAACAAAAGAAGAAAATTTTCTGTTTTCTGCTTTTCGTTTGTTGCTATTTGTGGCTTTCGGTTTTCAGGTACTGAATATTCAGCTTCTTCTTCGGATCTGGTCAATTTGATTCTAAGTGCTTTCATGGAGGAAGGGCTTAAAGAAGATTTAGCAGGACGACTAGTGAAATTTGACTTATCGGAGGTAGAGAAAACAGGGGTTCGGTTAGTAAGTGAAGATGTCGAGACGAGTGAAGAGGAGTGTCGCAGAAGTTTATTTGGACGGATATACGGAGCTAAAAGAGCAAATTTTGCAGGGCTGCACAGAATGTTGAACCAGGTGTGGCAAACTGAAGGAGGGTTTAGTTTAAAAGAATTGGGCTTCAACACTTATCAGTTTGTCTTCAAGCTGGAACATGATAAACAAAGGGTAAAAACTGGGAATCAATGGGCCTTTGATAACCAATACATCTTACTGACAGAATGGGAAGAAGACATCCATGAGAAAATTGGGACGCTGAAACATTTACCTATGTGGATCCAAGTATGGAATGTACCTTGTCATTGGGTAACTCTTAACACGGGATTCAAAATAGGTCGAATTTTTCCGGATGTTAAAAATGTAGTGATACCAGAAAGTGAGAGTTCCAATGAACGTCTAATAAAGATCCTTGCTACAATTGATTTGGAGAAACCTCTTCCAAGAGGTACTACATTATCGTTGGAAGGGAAATCAAGGTGGGTGGATTTTAAATATGAGCATCTGTTAGGGTTTTGTTACCATTGTGGCCTAGTTGGTCATCTGGAAAGAGGTTGTCAGAAAAAAATAGCTGAAATCAGTAAAAGGGAGGTGAAGGAAGGGCAATTTGGGTACTGGCTAAGGGCACCAGAAGGATAGGGAAGAAGAGCAGCTGAACCGAAAAGTAAGGAAAGAGGCCAACAGGAAACTCCTAGTAGAGCTACAATCTTGCAAGATAGTGAAGCAGAGGTAGCAGGAAAGGATGATGAAGGAGATCTTGTTCCAGTTTGTTTAATGGAATATTAAAAATTGCTTTTGCATCTATGGGATGAAAATTCCTTTGAATTAAATCTCTGTTCCACCGTCTTCCGTAACATCCATGAGTTGGTTGACCCAAATTAGATTTTGATCTTTGCAATCCCCACCCAACAGCTTGAATTTAGGATTTGAAATGATCCAAGGGGCATCCCTGATCCTAGTTCTCTTTCCATTCCCAATTTGAACTCTCAGCCCCAAAAGAAACAAATTATGAACTTTCAATAAGCCACTCCAAAATCAGGATTGATTACTTTTAGCTGCAGGTTTTAGCCACCACTCACCTCAAAAATATCTGGCTTGAATTAGTCTGCTCATTAAGGACTCCCTTTCAGTACAAATTCTCCACAAACATTTGACAAGCAGAGCTTCATTAACAATATGGAGATCCTGGAAATCTAAACCACCTTCCCTCTTTCCGCTGCTAAACTCTCCCACTTCATCCAATGCAACTTCCTATTTCCCATAACACCATTCCCCCTCCAAAAATTAGCTGTCAAGGTGTTCAAAGTGTTGCAACATTATTTTGTGAGCTTGAAGCAGGACATTACATAATTGGGGATGGTACTTACAATTGATTTTATTAACACCTCCTTAATTACCAGCAAAATTCAAAAGCTGATTGTTCCAGTTGCAAACCTTTCGAGTCACCTTTTCTTTTACAAAATTGAACACCTCAGCCTTATTTCTCCCAATTACTAATGGAAGCCCCAAGTAACTAGGATTCTGAGCTTCCTTGATATTCCCCAACTGGAAACAAATAGCTTGCTTGAAAATAAAGGGAGTGTTCTTACTAAAATAACAAGCGGATTTTTCAAAATTAATAGACTGGCCAGAATTTGAACAATAGATATCCAGTAAGTATTTGATCAGTTGCACCTGATTCAAATCCGCTTTACAAAATAATAATGAATCGTCTGCAAAAAAAAGATGAGAAATAGCTGGAGCTGGACCTTAAGGCCTTCCAAAATACCTTTAGAGCAAGCCACAGACAAAAGATTAGAAAGAACTTGAGAAACTAAAATGAAAAGGAAGGGAGAAAGAGGGTCCCCTTGTCTTAAACCCCTACTAGGAATAACAAAACCTTTATTCTGGCCACTAACCTTAAAAGAAAAAGAAGAAGTGCTCAGACACACCCAGATCCACTTCACAAAAATTTCATGGAACCCCATTTTTTTCATAACTGCCACCGAAAACCTCCATTCCACCCTGTCAAAAGCCTTAGACATATCCAACTTTAAAGCCAAGAAACAATCCTTTGTATGCCGACAGTTATTTAGACAATGAAAACACTCATGAGCAATTATGATATTATCTATTATCTGTCTCCCGGAAACAAAAGCGGTCTGACTCTCACTAATGCACAAAGACAACACACTCCTAATTCTATTAGCAAGGGTTTTAGAAATAACCTTATAAACAACATTACAAAGACTAATAGGACGAAAATGGCTTAAAGAAACTGGGTTTTTTTATTTTTGGAATTAAAGTGACTAAGGTTTGGTTTATACATCGAGGAAGTTTGAAGGAGCTAAAAAAATTCTTAACAGCACAACAAAAATCTTGCTTAATCAGATACCAAAAGGATTTAAAAAAAAAGTGGAGACATTCCATCCAGAAAGCAGTAATGCAGACCGGGTGCAAAAGAAGAGTTGGGATTTTATTTGAAAGTTGAAGGTTAAAAATAAACTAAAGCATTTTATTTGGAGGTGCATGAATAATTGTTTGGCAACTGGAACTAACTTGAAGAGGAAAAAAATTATGGGTTGTCTTATTTGCCCAATGTGTGGGAATGACGAGGAAAGCTTGGAGCATTTACTTTTTCATTGTGAACGGGTTGAATTAATCTGGAAAATTGCCCCTGTTTCTTGGCATCAAGAAGGAAAGAAAGTTAACAATTTCAGGCAGTGGTGGTATTACTTGATGGAGAAAAAGATTAATAGCCATTTCCAAAGTCGAATCCAATTAACCGTTTATATCTTGTGGTGGCTTTGAAAAACAAGGAATTTGTGGATTTTAGAAAAAAATTGGAAGACTGAAAAAGAGATTGTAGATGGTGCCCTTCGTGATTGGTTGGAGTTTGATAATCTTAATTAGCAGGGTTGATTTTGGGTTCAGTGGTGCTGCTATCCTTTTGTTTTTGTAGTTGCTGCTTTCAAGAGCTAGGGGAAGCTATGCTTGCCAGTGGGTCTGTCTTTCTCGTCTTTTGTTGTTTGATATGCCTTTGCTTAGTAGGTTTGGGTTGTTTTAGATTTCTTTTGGGGTTTGTTCCTTGTGTTTTGAGTTGTACATATCGGCAGGTTGCTTTTGTGGGTTGATTTTGCTGTAGAGTTGTTATTTGTAGGATTCTTTTTGTTTGTTGTATATCCTGTTTTGTTAGGTTGTTGTTAGGTTGCTTTTTATCTCCTGGTTGTTGTAAGTCCAGTGGGATAACTTTTTGTCTGTATGTTTATTTCTTTTGGTGGAATGCAAGCTCTTTAATCGTTTTGAAAAAAAATAATAATAAAGAGTCAGGTTTAATATATTTATCAATTAACAAAAATAATAGATAGAGTTTTTATTCTTGGTTTTTTGTTTTCAAAAAGTTATCTATATAGTCACGTCGTTTCACTTCTATTATGTATCAGTTTATTTTTTATTTTAATAGTTGGTACACGATTGTGCACGCAGATTCTCTCCGTCTGAGCTTTCAAAGATATACCGATCGTAGGTATCTAACCATCAAATATCGACGTCTTCTAAGATTACCGACATTTCGGGTTTTAATAAGTTTCTCATTTTCTCCAAAAAGAGAGTCCTTTAGAAAAAAAAAAAAGTCGAAAGGGCGGTGTACACATAGCTCTATCGCCGCTCAGCGTGCGTGGGAGAGCAATCTCCCCACCCTCACTCAGTATCACTGAAATACTGCTCCGCTTCGTTCGTTCCCTTCGAGTGGGAATTTCCTCCGATAAGCAAGTATAGCAAAGTCGGGGCCCTCTTAGGAGGAAGCATAAAAGGACATACAAAGCCCCCACACTCAGAGACGGGGATTGGTTTGAGCGCTTATTGCCTTCTTCCGCTTTATAGAAGAGAGAGACTAAAGGAGAGTGAAAAGCAAAAGGGCAAGCAATAGAAACGACCCTACTATCAAATGGTGCGATCATTAGTGACCTAAGGATCAACGACGCACAGCCGGCCCAATTTTATCTATAATTAACCGTAAAATTGAGTATTTTGTAACCACATTTTGGTTTAATTTAACCTATTTGTAATTGTACCATTTTAGCATTTATTAACTTAATTTTAAGCATATGAAAATTTTTTCAGTAATGTTTTATTATATAAGGTACAGTCGGACCCAATTTTATCTATAATTAACCGTAAAATTGAGTATTTTGTAACAACATTTTGGTTTAATTTAATCTATTTGTAATTGTATCATTGTAGCATTTATTAACTTAATTTTAAGCATATGAAAATTGTTCCATTAATATGTTATTACATAGGCATTATGGCCATTAAATTAATTATTTCACATTGGGCAGCATTCATGAAAATGATGGACAAAAACTGAATCCTAAGTAACACTAAATTTAGCATCCAAATGACTGATAATATATCCAGCAGTAGGACAACATAAAAATAAAATCACCCAACCATCATTCCCAAAGTGGCTTTAGAATTTGATAGGTAAAAAGTCCTAAATCTTAATTTTGAAACTTCACTCAGGTGTGAATGGGACGATGAGTGAACGTGCATAAACACCCGGCCACAATGCCGTTGTCCACCTACCCACATTTGCAATACAAATTAATTACACATCAGTCAATTAAATCAACTGAATTGCTTACGTACCCTTTTTACTACGTACCGCACCCCCAAAAGACTATTTTGACCTTTATATTTTTTGTAAAAAAGAAAAAGATGTCCCCTCTTCAGAGCCACTTATCGGCCGAACCGAGCCCCGAAAAATTTCAAAAACACCTCCGAATACTTCTGGCGAAAAAATACTTTCCAACAAGACCATTGTTGCGGCGGCCGGCCGGTCAAACCGGCGATCGCGGCCGGACTGGTGCCGGC